GATCGGGGCCATCAGGGAGTCGTAATGCATCCCGAGCCACTTCCCCCGGTGCCGCTCGATGATGTTTCCGAGCTGCCTGCTGGTGTCGAACTCGACCCGACCGGCGAGAGTTGCAGCGATTCTGCTTGCTTCTCCTTTTGTCAGCAAGCTCGTCTGGCTTTCGACGCTCTCGCTGTTAAGGAACTCGGACCCGTCCTCGCCTGGCGCCGCCAGCCCGGCCGGGTCTTCCTCGACCGCCTCTGCGTCATCTGCCCGGTGGCCCTCTTCGGGCTCAACCTGAGGGTAATCCCCTATTACCCTCGTAGGCGTTTCCCTAACGCCTTCGACCGGGGAATCCCGTCCGCTCGTGGACGTTCTCCCGCTTTCTTCGCTCGAGCTCCCCGACCCACTGGAGCTCGACCCTGACGTCCCCGATGAGCTTGATGACCTTTCTTGCTCGGGGGCTTGGTCGGGGGTTGGCTGCGGTCGTTGTTCGACCTCCGGAGAATAGGACATGATGTCCACCTCCTCGCTGATTTGCTCGACCTCGTCGTCGTAGTATGCGACCGAGACGTTCTGGCTATCTGAGTCTGACATCTTTTCTACCTAAAGGTCGGTCGGGGTTAGTACAGGGCTCGGGACGTTGGGTCGTAGTTAGTGTTATCCTACTGCTACGCGAAGCTAAAAATAAAAAATAAAGCAAGGAAGAAGAAAGCTTACCAACCAGGAAGACTTTGATGGAGCTTGAAGATGGTTTGCTCGGTGGATCTGCTGATGTTCACTCGGGACTCTCTGAGGGTGCCGGTTGATTCAGAAGATTGAGGAAAGTTCAAATGAGGGTCTCAAGGGCCTATTTATAGGAGAGCATTTGGGCGGGAAACCAATCCACTTGCGCGATGTGACCCGCACTGATTCCGAGGCGACCGTTGCAGTCGCAGAGGCCGGCAGTCGCCGACACGTGGCGAGAAGGGAATGACAGCTGGCCGGTCGGTTTGGTAGCCGACGGTTGGGTTTCTTCATCCCGTCCCGTTTTTTTCCGGACGCTCAAAAAGGCCCGGGCTGGGGGAGCTCTTGGTAGGGAATATCCCGACCGACATAGCTTTATCCCGGCCGGTGTGCCTTTGTCTTTGTCTTCTTGTCTTTGCAGGTAACAGGTCGGGTTTCTTTGGAAGAACCCGGTCGGGATTCGACCAGGAGTTGCCCGAGCGGCAGTGTCGACCACCGAGCGGTAGCCCTTTGGCGAGAGAGCTGACGAGGGACACGTGGCGGCTCCACGCGTTGACAGGCAGGGCACCCGGGACAATGACACGTGGTTGCTACGTGGGAGGCATGCCGAACGGCCGGATTTGTGTCTCCGGCTCCGTGGCTATAAATACCCGCGGTTGTTGTTAGAGAATCCCGACCGCAGTCAGTCGGTACTCAGAGCAACCAAGTAGATTGTACTTAGGGCCTTCACAGTGATCAATAAGAGTTATTTACTTGCTTTAATTGGTCTCGTATTTACTTAATTACCGCTTACGTGGCAATTAACACTATCAGAATTGTATAGCATAGATGCTTTTTCTCGCGTGCAAAGAGAGGGGGTGTAAATCAAATCCAAAATGAGCTTGTCTGGAATTGAAGGCATTCCGAAGTCACTAGATGTTACAGAATTAATTTTAATTTTAGAATTTCGACCGTTTGGAGCGTTTGGAGTCAAAGGCATTCCGAAGTCACTAGATGTTACAGAATTAATTATAATTTTAGAGATGTTACAGAATTAATTCTAATTTTAGAATTTTGACTGTTTGGAGAATTAATTCAGATGTTACGGAATTAATTCCAATTTTAGAATTTCGAATTAAATCCTCACGTACAAAGCTGAATTAATTTCAATTTTGAATGTCATTGTTAAATGCTATTTAATCCTCAACTCCTATTAATAGTACTAATTCTCGTAGGTTGGTAGTGTGTACTGTATGTAATATGTATGAACAAGAAGAAGTAATAAAGAACAAAAGGGTGTTTTATTCATAATATTCTTGCGTCTTTCCTTCTATGTATCTAGAGAGAAGGGAGAGGGAGTGTTGTATATGATAGTTTAGTGAGAGAGAGCCGAGAGATAGTCCAAATGGCCTCCCCAAACTCAAAGGCCTAAAGGCCCTTTTATAGGGCTACCGAGGTGGCGGGTTTGACCCGTCACCTTTGACCCGGACTCATAGGCCAAGACCCGAACCGTTAGATCCCGACGCGACGGTAAGCGATGGCACGGAGCCGGGGTATATAACTTATCATCTATATAAAGTTGTTTTAGAGCAGCAAAATTTTATAACTTGATTACCTACGTTTTCAGCTCTCAAAATCTATGCTTCTACTCCTTTCTTAGCCAACGTGTTGTTCTTTCATTGCTCAAGTTCGTTGGGTTCATTTGTTTGGGTGCTCAAACATTGAACCGTAGTAGGTTTTATACTGGAAAACCGATGGTACAACGCTCCTAGCACTTTTGGGAGGTAGGAAATGAGGTTTTAAGGAAATGGTGATTCGTTCGACTCGTACTAACCACCCTCTCAAAAAATAATAATCCTTTTTTGTAGGATTATTATTGGTTTTCTTAACCATTATTTGCAACACTGCCAACCAAGGGTGCTGGATGTTAAATTCTCCCCATCCAAATCATTCCAGAGTTTCTGAGGAACACTCCTATTGGGACTACCATACACGACCGCCATGCACCAACACAAATTTTTGTTATCTTTAATTTAGAGGAGGAATTGAGGGTGTGTCCAGATCACCTCAATAGATGCAATATCCTTCCACAACACCCAAATACCTCCACTCATATCAACCCTTTCGAAGTCCAGTTTAAAGCAGACCTCATCAGCGCCCACCCCTAAAGTTTTAGGCTCAAGGATACACAAGCATCAACGCTTGTTCTCTCTAATAAGAGACAGTGCAGCCCTCATGATATGCAAACTACGTACCTGCCTGTGGGTGTTTGTGATGGAATCGAAAAAGAGAACTCGAAAATTCTTATGGCAGTTGGGTGTTCATCTGGTGAGTTGGGACACTATCACTAAGCGCAAATCTGAGGGAGGATTGGGTTGGAGGATTCTTAGAGACAGGGATGCTCTCTGGGCTAAGGTTCTCATTACAAAATACATGGGAAGGAATTGAAAAATATCATGTTGGGTTTTGATAGCAAAAATGGAGCCTCTAATTTGTGGAGGGGCATCTACATGGCTGAGGGAATTCTCAAACAAGGGATCAGAAAGGTGGTTAACAATGGTCAAGATACTCTTTTCTGGAGTGACAATTGAAACCATCGAATTAAATATGAAAATGCAATCAGATAATCGAACCCTAAAAAAGTACAATTAGATCCATCTAGTAACCAAATACGTTTGATTATACCAATTAGTCAATTGAATCCCTCTTCAATCAGTTATTTTGTCACGATAGCACCTATGTGGATTTTACTTATTTTACTAACTAAGCTAAATGACTTTTTAAATAAAACATATTCCTTTTATTATCAAAATCTCCACAAATACACAAATCCCTCCTAATCCCCAATCCCATGAATTCCTCATTGTTGTCTGTATCTCAATCAGCGAACACGAAGGAAGCAAAATTTCTTCGAGCAACGAACAAGTACCGTTAGCGAGCGAACTTGTGAACCTCCAACCATTTAGAATCAAGGTATGGTTTAGTTGAAGTAGTTATACACTCTTTAGCTGCTATTTGAAAGGCAATGGTCTCTTGTGAGACCATTTCATGAATCTCAATTCGTGAGATAAGTTCGGTCTAATGAAAATGTTCATAATAAAATTTCAAATATAATCAATATTTTAAGTTTTATATATATTATTTTATATTATAAATGTAGTACTTTATAGCAAAAACTATAATCGAAAGTTTTTAAAAAAATAAAGTAATAACAGAATTGCAAATATCATCAATACTTTAAGCCTTATATATATTACTTTATAGCATAAGTGAAGTACTTTATAGCACAACTCTAATAGACAATTTGCAAGAAATAAAGTAATATCATAGTAGAATTACAAATATGATCAATACTTTAACTCTTATATATAATACTTTATAGAAAAACACTAATAGATAGTTTATAATAGAGTTAATTTCCAAAATGGTCATCCGACTATGACTTTTTCTCAAATTGGTTCCTTGACTTTTAATTGCACCCAAAATGATCCTTCGATTATTGAATTTTAAGTCAAAAATGGTCATCTGTTAGTATTGGTGTTAAGTGGGTGTTAAAATGATGGGTAAAACTGGTAATTCAGGGTTTTCACTATAGTCAGAGAACTACTTTGGATGCAATTAAAGTCAAATGACCAATTTGAGAAAATGTCATAGTCAGAGGACCATTTGGAAATTTTTTCTACAAAGAGTTAATTCCAGCAATGGTCCTCCGACTATTGCAATTTTCTAAAAGTAATCCTTGACTTTAATTTAGACGAAAAAGACACTTAACTTTCGAATTTGTTCCAACAATGGTCCTTCTGTTATCCATCCATCTCTTAACCGTTAATTTAAAGGCTAAAATAGTCTTTTTATTAGCTTGCTCTCTTCTTCCTCAACGCAGAGAAGCAATAGAAAGAACTAAACACAATTGAAGTCCTCTCCGGATCTGTGTTTAGTTCTTCCTATTGTTTCTCTGTGAGCAAGAAGAAAGCAAGCTAATGAAAACTCTTAACTAACTACATATAAACTCTTAACTAAATACACAAAAACTCTTAACTAAATACACATAAACTTTTAATTGAATACACATCATGGAATTTGGACCGTTTAGATAGACAGAGTGACAACAACAATCAAAACGCGCGCATTTTGTGCCTGAACGCACATAGTAGTGCCTGGACGCACATTACTATGTACACCATGGTGCTATATATACATTGCCTACAAAAGTTTTTTTCCTTTTTTTTGGATCTAAGGGAGGGGGGAACCCCGGTTATAGTACAAAAGTTGATAAAATATCGTCACACTAAAAAGTTGAGAGAAATGGCTAACACTTTAAGGAACAGAATAATAGATTATAGATGAAGGCAACTAGCCACATACAAGAAAAATTGTAAATACAGTACATGAAAGAAACACTTGTAAAAACATCAAACTCTCCACAAGGAAACCATTTGTACAGTCACGTTTTGATACATAAACTACCTCAACTTCATTTTTATCATCATCATTTTTTACACCCTGTAGAAAATTGACTTCCTCTGCACGGCCCTCGGATCGTTGCATCAGAGCCTCGGCTTTTACTTCCATCTATGTATAAACCTTAAAACTACACAATGTACACTTCTCTAGTGCGAGGGCAGGGGGCCGACTTTATTTCCAATCGGTCTATATAATATCATCATCTTTCCTTTCCTTGTGATACGGTGCTAGACACTCGACAAATTAAAGGAAGAGAGGTAGCTCAAACTAGCCTCAGTTAGCTGTACATCTTTCTTCCTATAACGTCTAAGCTGGATTTGGGGTCTGGGCGGCCATCCTCCTTTCTGCATTTTAGAATCGACAAAAGAGAAACAAATTACTCGGGCATCACAAATAGGTTCTCTGTTTCGACGATGATAATAAGGGAAGTAGTACTTAGTTACTTACCCCCAGCAGCAACGAGCTTCTCGACACGAGCAACAATATGCTTCCCATATGTGTATTTCTTCAATGCATTCAAATGCACTTTTATTCGTGAAAGGATCAATTCGCGCTCCTGATCGCTACAAGTTTCCAAAACTTTCTGTACAACGTAATTTGCAAATTGATCTTTCATCATCGCCTGGCCAAAAAAAGAGCCAGACACTCAGAGAACAGAAACGCAACAACAATAACCGTTTAGATGGTGTTTAATGATGTGAAAGGATATACTATAAGCTTGGGGTATAATTTTTTCCTCAAACGCAAAGATTTATCACATAAAATATCAGGCAACTATTGTAGTTGCTTCAACTTTCCTCGTACCCACAACCAATGTTGAAAAAATCGCTAGGCGCCCTCTAGGCGCCTGGGGACCGCCTAGGGCGCCCGCCCTCTAGCGCCTCCGGACCGCCTAGGGCCGATTAATTGACGCCTAGGCGCAATTTTTGCAACACTGCCCACAAATTTTCAACCAGCAAAGCAATAATTTTCAACTTATACACGCACGGGAGAGAGGGGGGGGGGGGGGGACGGGGGGACCTTTAAGGATGAGCCTCTAAAGAAGGAATAAACGATATCAAAATCAGCACTAGCTATCAATGGAAGAGAGGAGACATTGCCAAACCTGAAGAGGTTCATTTTCATCGGTTGTACCAAGCATCTCATTCACTAGTAGCTGTCTTTCACTGGGATCACCAAAAGTCAAACACTTCTCCACAACATTGGAGGCAAACTTCTGCTGGCTCATCTGAACAATCTTCCCAGCTAGTTCCCGTATAATCGCAGTACGCTCGTGCGGCTTTCCATGTTCCAGTACATGCTGTCAGGATTTTTAATCAAGTGAGACATTTGTAAAGCAAGTACCAAAAAACCATAGTCTCTAAATAAATGTAGTTCTATTAAAATCACAAGAAATCGAACGAGTCAATCTTGTTTTGGCCGTAATTCTACCACATGTTATAAAGAGTAGATTGTGAGGAAAAGGAGAGTACACTACAATATACAGTATGTTAAAAGGCTTCAGCTGACAACAAAACAGAGTATGAGTACATATACATCGAAAGACCGTTTAAAAGGCAGAGCAATATAAGTCCCAAAAAATAAAATAAAATGTATACCTGTATAACATAATTACCATACTGATCTTGTGCCAGCATGCTTACTGATCCTAGAATCTCCTCCATCATTTTACTCTGGGTGTTTGGATCCATGCAATGTTCTAGTACTCTCTGCCAATTACAAAAACCAATTAGTTATCTCCCACAAATAGTGCAAATCTATTGAAGCAAACACCTGATACGTTATGATTTTTTTACCTGTATAACACGACACCCGTATGGATGAGTGGACAGAGTCACAACTTGACCAAAAAATGTTGAAACGATAAATTGAATATGATCCTCGGGTACACATTCAATGCACTTCTGGATTACATGATTCCCATTCTGATCACGTACACAGCGCATGACGTGACCATCAAGCTCTTCGACCATTTTAATCTTCTGGTCCACATCAACCACCTCGATTACCTGCAGTGCGACTCAAATTCATTTTTAATCCAGTTTCGAAATCACATGGTTCATTATGATCAGGAGGATTTTGACATGAGATTTGCAAATTTGGTTCCTTTACCTTCTGTATCACTCGGCAACCATACATTTGGAGGCTCAGTGTTAAAACACGCCCAAAGAGCTTGCTAGCCAGTTCTCTCCTCTGAGATGGCATTCCATGTTCAAAAAACTGAAAAGAAAATATTAAGTTACAGAGAATCTAGTTAAAAAGTAAAGAGCAAAGCACATCCTATCTGAGACAATTCAGTAATATATACCTTCTGGATTACATAATTACCAAAGACATCTGTCATAAGTGTAAGTGCCTGGGGAATAATTTCTTGGAAGACCATGTTAATCTCCTCAGTTGTGGCAGTCTCAAGTTTTTGTTGAATGAACCGGCTGCCATACTGATCCGCACTGATACAGAAGAAACCAAATTTATAAGATTCACGTCTACCCTATACACAATTCAAAAAATAGATATATATATATATATATATATATATATATATATATATATATATATATATTAAACTGTCACATACCTGAATTCGACAACATGACCAGCAATCTCTGATAGCTCAAAGCATTTGGTTTTATTGCTCTTGAACTCTTCAAGCAGAGAGGATGCAAAGCTGTTTTCCATGTTATCCAAGTTCCAAGGTCCAATCACACCCACACCAAAGTTTCTCATCCCCCCACCAACTCTCATGTTATAATCACTGCATCTGATAGGACTACCAGGTCCTACAGGAGAGTTTGGAATGACGGGACTAGTCAACAGACTTCCAGGATAAGACAAACCAACTCTAAATCCAGGATTACCATAGTATCCGTGATGGCCAGAACCCATATTTTTGCTACTTAGCGGAACATTATACTGTGATTTCTGAGGAGATAGCATACTACCAACATAGGCTTTCTGAAGCAAGTCCGTATATGAATTACCAAGATAGTTCCTGTCCATGGAAGGATCATTATGTGAAGCAAACTGTAGCAAGTATTGAATATACATTGGATCCATATATTGTGCCTGTAGACCACTGCCTGCCATTTGATTTTCCATTCTACCAATGTTCTGGTCTAAAGAAGCAGAATTCAGATTTGATCCAGTAAACATTCTTGAGTCCATCGCAGGAATAGCCATAGCAGATGCAGCAGCAGCATTTTCAAACAAAGGAGGCAAATTATAGTTGCCACGTTGGGTAGATAGATGATTGGCTGAATGGCCGTTCAAACTGTAATTTGAAAAAGATGAATTTGGACTGTCCAGATTTGGACATTGAGAAAGCAAGTCACCTTCACCACAGAGTGAAGTTGTCAGAGACCCTTTGTGGTATGAACTACCAGAAGAAACAGAAGATCTGCGAAGGTCAGCTTGGATGGCAGATGACTGAATGTTTGACCCGTTGGGGTTGTTAGGACCAGTGTCACCATACTGTAAATTCATATGCTTACCATTGGAGGATGCAAGATACTGCTTTTCAGATTCAGATTTCTTCAAGTAAGCATGTTTCTTTGCATTACTTTGACCACCTGCAAAAATAGAGAGGTAATAATCATGGCCATCAGTATCATCAACCAATTCCATTATAAGAAAGCAGATGATTCTCTGTGTCCGTCATACCATTTGAGAGGTTCATGCTAGATAAAGAAGCAACCAGATCTGCAGGTTCATTTGCATGAGAGGGGACACCATTGAATGAGTTTGGACTATTAATATTTCTTTTTTCTGATGTGACGGCCCTTCCAGCACCAATAGGAGTAACACAAGGATTTGGAGCCCTGGCAATGTGTTGAGGATCAGGAGTGGTGCTCCTCGACAAGCCTAAAGCAGCAGCATATGAAACCTGAGCATTTGTTGCGGACCTTAAAGGATCTGAGGATGAATAGTCGTGATGAAGATTAGAAAGTTCAGTTTCAGCTGAAGCCAAGGTATCGCCACTATCATCATAAGCATTACGGCTAGCTGGGCGTGAATGATGTCCAAGTGCAGGAGTACAGTTGAAGTCATCCTGCAATAATCAGAAGTTAGCCCAATAAATTGAAAATTGGAAACTGCATGCTCTAGAGAAAAAGATAAATGTCTTTCCTTTGGCCAATGTCATCAATTATTATTGAACAAAATATCGCTGTGGTCCAATGACTTAAGAACAAGGCACAATTAAAGTAGGCAATAAGTCAAATGGCCAGAAACAATCAACCCAAACAATTGACTGCATAGATTGAGCATGGCCAGAAACAATCAACCCAAACAATTGACTGCATAGATTGAGCAATACGTAAGATTTTAACTACTACTTTTGAAGAATAAACCAAGATGGAAAGATGGTTGCATGCAAAATTTTCTTGCTCAGCATCAAAACAACAAATTTAATGTTTTTGAGCAAGCATGTGTTTCCAGAGGGGGAAAAATGGGTCACTTCTCAGGAAATAAGAAGTTACATTCATATGCAAGCATAGTTGAGATTAAAATTTTCCTCTTTATTTTCAATGTAGTAATTGAAAAAAGGTACACAAGTTTTAACTTAACTCCCAAATTGAACAATTTTTCTTGAACTTACAGGGTGGAATGCCTGGAAATACATAACATTCATCAGGAATTACTTAAAATCATTAATCCAACTACCACATTTCCCACAAAATATAATGTGAGACAACAGAGTAAAAAAAAAAAAAAACTATTTTTGAGCAAAACCATATTACAGAATAGAACTACAAAAACATGACATAACAGAGATTAAATTTAAAAATTATAAATAAATAAATAAATAAAACATGCACAGATGCACAAATTTTATAAGGTAAAATTAAATGACATTATCCTGAGAAGCAATAAATCTTCAGCTAAAACCATCATTGATCACAGATGATAGAATACCTAAAGTGTGTAATATAGATATGTGCATTTGCAAAAGTAAATCATAAAATACAATGAAAGAACCTAAAACATTCATTTATAAAGCCGAAATAAGCTCAGAAAAATACAAAATAAACTTCCACATATTCACCTGAAGTACCTCAGCAATGCTCTTCTGTTTACTACCCAGTCCTAGTCCAGGCAAACCAATCAGTCCATCACCACCCCACTCAACTGAACCCCCCTGTAAGTTGTCAGATTCATTCTCTGCTTCCTGCTTCTTAGAGTTAAACCCAGGAGGCATTGAGAAGAGTGACCTCCCAGAAGTGGCAGTATCATTCTTGTTAACAGTCCTCCTTTCCCCAATTGTAGAGCCCCCACCTTGTAATCTTTGAGCAAACCGCCAGTCCTCCTTAGACAATAGAGGAGGAGGCAACCTAGGGTTGAGATTCACATTGGAGTAATAGTAAGATAAGTAAGCAGGATCAGACCTAAGTTCCTCTTCCGATATAGAACCATTCCCAGTTCTGTTCCAGGCAAACTCCTGAAAGGTAGAGTTTCGAGCACCGCCGCTAGCGCCACTGCCAAGACCACCTGCTCCGTGGTTAAACAGCCCACCCACCGCACTTAATGAACCCTCCACAGTTGGAGGCGCCGACCCACTTCTATACAAACTCAGTTCCTTTTCAAGATCGTCGGCTTCTTGCCGGCGCTGTTCGCGAAGCAAAAATCCTATCTCCTTCTCCAACTCATCATCGAAGGAGCTCTCGTTGGTACCATTCATTGGCCTCCTATCCAATTCAGATAACATATTCACGACTTCAAAAGAATACACCAATTAATCATTCCACGACCAACAAACCCTAAAATCCCGAAAACAAAAAACCAAAACCAAGCAGTCCAAATTCAAAACTAATAAAGACCTGCATGAAAGAACTCAAAAATCAACCCGTTCTGAGCTCATAAAAATACAATCTTTGATTATCTAACTCGGATAAAGTTCATGCTTTTATGCTAAAAATCTGAGCCCTCTGCGATCACGCAACTGGGAAGCACAAAAATCCACATATTTCCGCATAACTCAGTACCATGATTGAAGGGTAAAAAAAAACAAACGGAACTCCGAAGAGAGTATCAGATAAAAGAGTAAGCAGACAAGTGAGATAGGGTGGAGGTTAAGGTTGAGAGAAAAGGGGGAAAAGAGATCATTCTGGCGGCGAATTTTTTTACGCAGAACCCCTTTAGGGTTTTGTTTTGCAACCACTCTGCGAGAAGGTTATATACAGCAAACTACTCCATAATTTTATAAATAAAATTTCAATAATCTTGAACAATATTATAAATAATTAATTAATTAACAATAACACTTTTATAAAAAGAAAATAAACAAAAAATTGAAATACTCATAATTCTTTACCAGATAATACTTATTGTACCATATTTTCTCAATCATTTTGAGTCCATTCAATCCTATAATCATCAATTTAAAATATAAAAAAATAGATGTGTCATCATACTACATGATAATTGGCATAAAAAAAAAATTTTGTTTGTTTATCAATCGCTATTTTTATTATTTAATTTAATGTCATAAAATTTTTATATAATATAAAATATTTAATAGCTAGGTTACAAGTATATTTTATGCTTTATTTAATTTTTTTTTGAAAGGTATTTTATGCTTTATATGTTTTGGTATTATACCATTTCACTACATATATGAATTTTTATTTAATTTTTGTTTGGGATAGCTTCTATAAGTTGCCCTTCATTTTAATTTGTGTTTGGGATAGCTTCTATAATTTGTCCTTCATTATTGGGGCTCATCCATCATGTTAGGGCATCTATATAACCCAAGAGATTTAGAGGAACATGTTTCTGCATATAAGAAAAAGAAGATCATTTGGAGAAAAGTGAATGATGTTATGGAGTAATTGCAAGCTCCACATCATCTTGACACTTAAAAAAAAAATAAAAAAAAAATAAGATAAGAAAAAAGATAAAAAACATGCATGAAGTCGCGTAATAATTGATAAAGTTACGTGTTATATACGCAACTTACTAGTTGTCATAATCTGAGCTTAATTTTTTATTAGTCGAAACTTTTGATATTTAATTTTTTTTAATTGTTCTTATACAATGTTGTGAAAATAAATAAGTATTTTGTTGATGATATGGAAAAAAAGTAAATCCTTAAAATAAAAGAAAATTAAAAAAAGAAACAAAAGACATATTTGAAGCAACGCACCAACCAAGTTGCATGTTGTGCACAAATGTTGCATTGCTAGTTGTCATAATCACAACACTAGTTTTTTGTTAGAGTCTTTTTTAAGGGTATGAGAGATATATTATAGCAAATGCAACTTTTTCCTCAAAGTTTTTTTTTTTTTTTTGGAAAACAAAAGAAATTAAATTGCATTATCGGAATTCAACATGCTTACAATGAACAAAGGCAAAAAATGCAGCCAATCTACATGATAAGTCTCAAAACATGCTAAGTTTCTATGAGCTTTTTTAAGGTTTTGCGTGTGTATTTTAACCAAAAAGTCTTACTTATAGAGCAAATTATCTTAAAAGCATGAAAGTACAAGGAAAGACCTTCCTAATTATATTTTATGTTGTTTTGGACATTTTAGGACACGAAACATGGTAGAAAGGCCGAAAGAAGCTAAGCCGAGGCGAACAAGGACCGAACACGCTAAGGCTACGCATGAAGAAGAGGGACGGAATGGAAATTATTTCCCATTCATGCCCCTCCTCACGCCGTGAGGGCTGCGCAAATGGAGAACATAAGGAGGCCGGACGAAGCTACGCACGGAGGGAGCTAATTCCCCATTCACGCCGGCGTCACGCCACACGGCGTGACGCCGTGCGTGAATGGGAGGCCGAAGGGAGTTAGCATATTTAAGCTCAAAATCTCATTTTTTGTGGGAGAGCCAACTTTGTGTAGAGAGAATTTCACTAGTTAGATTCAGATTTTAGAGAGAGGTTAGTAGGGTTAAAATAGGTTTCTTGAGAGAGATTTAGATCTACAATAGCAAACACCTTGTATTGCTAGATTTTGCAAAGAAGCTTGAAGATTGAAAGCATTTGGCTAGTAGATCTTCATCAACGATTCGTATTCGGTGGATTTAAATGATTGGGGTAAAATCTACGTTGTGCTTTATTGTTATATCTCCTTTTGCCCTTTGATTGTTGAGATCTTGATCATGTTTGGCTAAATCTAGTGGTTAGGAGTGAGGTGTAGATTGTTGTTGTGATGATGCTTTGATTTGCTTATCTTGTGGTGTTTGATTGATTGTTGACTATGTGGATGTCTTGTTGTTGAGGATGATCTTTGTGACATTCTTGAAGTGGGGCCCAACTCCTTGGATGGTGTTGGAAACCTAGATATAGGCAAGAGATTGCTAGATCCAGGTAGCCTTGATCCTCTTCATTTCCCCGTCTTCGATCCGAGAGGGCAAGACCCGGAAAGAAGTGAGGGCAAAGTGTTTGTTTAAATGCCCCGTAGAGAGCAAGAGTTCATACGAGAGGCGTTAGACCGAATTGGCTATCGCACTAGCCATCCACTTCTCTTGACTAGTAGCGCACAATCAAATCACCACAAGACTCCCCTTACGGGATTGACCAATCACACAACACAATCAAAACCCAATCCTACGCGCCTTTCTCTCTCTGAGTAAATTCTTATTCCCCGATCTACCTTTCTTAGTTTCAAGAGCATTTCCAATTTCCTTTCAAACCAACAACGTCAATTCACTTTCCTGAATTGAGCCTTCAAGTGTCTAGTCTACCTTACCTTTTCTCAAGCCCAACTTCCAAGTTGTTATTCGTCGAAGGAGCAACACTAGGGGTGGTTCTAACTCCCCATTTTACCATCTATCCTTAACAATCCCAATCACACACAACTTCAATCTTTTTTACCACGCTTTCAAGAACCACAACTATAAGCGGAAAATATCCGGTCACTACACGATCAGTTAAAGAACTAGATGCCCTAGCTAACAAGTGGGCAACATAGTTCGCTGATCGTTTAACAAAATATAAATGCAAATTACCACTATATATGTTGGGCGTCGGCTGGGTTCGCCGAGTTCAGCCCCTGCTCTATTAGAGATGTTGCGTTGTGGCTTACTATGGAGAGATGTGGTTAAATGGTTAATATCCATATACTTATCATCAATTGGTTTTAAGTAGAATATGACAACCAGGTACCATAGAACTCTGTGGTTAAGCGTGCTTGACTTCCAGCAATCCCGGGATGGGTTCATCCCAGGATAGGTAACCCCCTGGGAAGTAAGCATAGTGTAGTGTTGAGATCCAAGAATTGGTATTAGAGCTGAGTCGAGTCCCAGATGGGATGTGGGCGTAGGTCGAGTCAAGCATGCTGTGCAACTGGGCTTGGTGTTCAAAGGTTGCGGCAGGTGATGAGAGGGAGATTGTTGGGCGTCGGCCGGGTTAGCCGAGTTCAACCCCTGCTCGATTCAAGACGTGGCACTGTGGCTTACCATGGAGAAATGTGGTTAAATGGTTAATATCCACCTACTTATCACGAATTGGTTTTTAAGTAGGATATGAACTCCGTGGTTAAGCATAGTCATCACCAATTGGTTTTAAGTAAGATATGACAACCAGGTACCATAGAACTCTGTGGTTAAGCGTAAGCATAGTACAGCGCTGAGATCCAACAATATATATAGATGTATATAAGGAAATGTAGTCAAGAGAATACATTACAATAGATTTTCTAATAATTATTTAATCAAGGAAATAAATCAAAGCTAAAATTATGATCCAAATTCCCTATTTTAACTAATATTCATTGTAATAATTGTAGATATAAATTATTGTTTCCATATGAAATATTATAATTATTCTCTCCAAATTGAACTATTCTTCTGTTTACAGTTCTGAACTCTCCATTCAGTTTAGTACAACTCACACAACAAGCAATATGAAGATAACAGGATCGACAATACTAAGGGGCGGGAAGAAGCAAAAAACCACAGACAAAGGCCAAATTTAATTATAATTTTAAATTCAATCTCGAATATGTACTATTTCAATAACTATGCCAAACCCAATAAACTCAAATAAGGAAAAACAAAACAAGGAACAAGGAAAGTTGTGGCATGTTCTCAAGCACTGCACTAAGAGTGAAATCCGTCGTCACGATGCAATGTATCAACAATACGGCATCACTCCTCTAAGGTTAACACAGCCACCCACAGACTCGTGCACCCAAAATCTGCAGGTTGGAACCTGACTGCTTGCTCATGACAAGAACAAGAGAATGAGAAAAGAAATATATGAATCCACAGCACTCTGGACAAAGACAGTGAGGTTATTTATATATGCACAGAAATGATGCTTGATTTGTTTTCAACCACACACTTACTGGGGAGAAATAATTTCACATTGGCTACGTGTAGGGGTGAGCATCAGTCGGTTACGGTCAATAACCGACCGATAACCGAAAAACTGATAGTTTTTTTCGAAGTCCCATAACCGACCGAAACCGACCGATTATACACACCTAACCGACCGAAACCGAATACATCGGTTTCGGTCGGTTATTTCGGTAACCGAAAAACCGCCGTGGTTTACCATACAGAATAAATAACAAATGTAAAATTGCAAACTAAGAGAGCAGGAGATGAAGAGGAGAAAATTAGAGAGACAGCGACTGCGATTAGTGCCTACAAGATGCTGTAAGGCTGTGACTCCGTGAGCGAGAGTTGAAATCGGCATAAGGAGTAAGGACTTGGGTTCTGCACTTTTGCTTCGTTGTTTCTGTCGTTCGCGTTCGAGAGAGAAGGTCAGAATGTGAGAATGGTTATTGACTCTCGAGGGAAGGGTTCTACAGGGTTATACATAATTCTACAAAGATAAGTGGACTAAATGTATTCAGACTTGTGAGTTAGGGCATTTTAAGAATAAACATTAATCTGAAAGCATTTAGGCCTTAAAATAAATAAGTTTTAAACTAATATATACATAATATATATATCGGTTATTCGATGACCGATTTTTTGAAAGGATCATAACCGATAATTAACCGAATAACCATATAACCGAATTTTTTTTTGATCTTGTAACCGATAACCGAAATTTTCGGTCGGTTCGGTTATCGGTTTTATCGGGTTTTCGGTAATTTTGCTCACCCCTAGCTACGTGCGTGAAGACATAGGGAAATTAGGAAATGTGTGGTGAAGACAGAGAAAAAATAGGAATTGAAGAAATGGCAATACTTCGCATTACTAACATATTCAGAATTGCAATCACTACAAGAAAAATCGCGAATCGCGACGGACTATATTCCGTCGCCATTTAGCGACCGAAATTGCGACGGAATACATTCCGTTGCAAAATGGCGATGGAAAAGGCGACGGAATTTAATTCCGTCGCGAATCTTGGCGCAAAGATAAATAAAGCCCGCGAAATATTGGCGGCAAAATATTCACGACCGAATTTAGGACGGAACTAATTTCCGTCGCCCAGTTTGCGACGGAAAAGGCGACCGATGTTCGTTCCGTCGCGAAATCGCGACGGAAATTGCGACCGACTTGTTTCCGTCGTTAAATGAATTAAATTTTGATATATTGACTCAATATTGCGACAAAAATTGCGACCGTCTGGATTCCGTCGCAATATTTTTGTTAAATTTTATTTTTTTCTTCTAAGTTAAACATTGGCTATTTAATATGAAATTAAAATTAAAATAAAATAAAACATTATTATAGTTGACGCTAGTGGTGAGCAAGAATACAAAAAAATCGATAAAACTGAACCGACCGAAAATTTCGGTTATCAGTTACATGCAAAAAAAAAAAAAATTGATTATATGGCCATTCGAATTTTGTCGGTTATAGCCAATTGAAAATCGCGGTCACCGAATAACCGAAGCTATTTATATGTATATATTAATATGAATATTAATATTAATATTAATATTAATATATTATATTATAAATTATATAATAATTATATAATTATAGATAGAAAACCCTTTTACCCTTGAGTTCTGTCTCAATCGCGATCTGCATATATTTCCCCCAAATTAAACCCTTAGCCAAATCCTCCATCCCAAACCCTCCGATCCGAAGATCCGTCACGCAAGTCCAACGGCCACACCGCTGCCTCGCCGAACAGCCACAACAACGCCCGCCATCGCCAACCGCCTCCTCGCCGCTCGCCGCTCGCCACCACAACAGTTCACTGGCCGCCTCCATTGCCGGCGATCTTGAGGTAAGTTTTTTTATTTTATTTTATATTATATTTATATATTTAGAGTTTGTGTCAGTACACTTGAAGTAAAAGTTCCTGTATGCTTCGAGTTCTGTTCTTATTGTGTATAGTGTTGTTCTTGCGATTCCGTTGCCGAGGAATTTTAAATGTATATGGAAAATAAAATTTCAATATACAAGTCCTTATCTTCTGGTCATCGTTCTGTTTTGTTATTTTTTTTTTTCATGCTTTGCAAGTATTGTATTCTGATATCTCTGTGGTGATGTTGAATTCTTGATTTAGTTGGATTTTGTAAAGGAAGAATATGATTTGCCCAGTGATTTTCAAGGAATGTTTCTGATTGGTTAAGTCTAATAATTTGTGAATCGTATGTTATTTATAGATAAGTTGTTGACTTGTTATTTACATTGTCTTAACATCATGTTTGGTCTATAATATGCATCATGCAGCTTTTCTCAATAAGGTTGTTAGTATTACCAAGTTATGTTTTGTTTTAAATCTTTTATAGTTTAAACTGGAAGCATAATTTGGTTTGTAATATCTATTGTATCCGTTCTAGCTTGACGGATCACTGAGATTAATACTTTTCCTGTCCAGCATAATCTGATGCATTGGTTCATATTTTTGAGCATGTAGGATAGTAGGGGGCAAGTTTATGAGTTTCTATTGTTTATATCAATTGGTATATAAATTTTGTGAAACTGAAATGGTAAGATGGTTTTCTTTCACTTGGAGGGTTGGAAGGCACTACTTAGAGGGATTATGTATTTATGTGTATAGTTGGGTTGTAGTTGCTTTGGCTTTCTTGAGTTGTTCTTAGAATTCTGAGCTTATGAGCTTTTGGTATTAACAAATGTTTTATTATTTGTGATTATATATGTTTATGAAATTTCAATGAGCTCATGGTTCCATGGGTCTTGAATTGTTATAGCATTGAAATATGTATTAATGTAATAATGTAGTCAATATGCATATTAATTGACTTTATAGTAGTTTTCAATGAGAAATCAATTCTTAGTTAATTAATTAGTTTGATATATATGATAATAATGTATAAATATTTGCACATTTAAATTAATGTTATATATTAAACATCATTAATTACTACTTTTAAAGATTGAGCAGAACAATGCATCCATCACTTTTTTTTTTTTTTTAGTTTATTTATTCAATTTCTTATTTCATTTCTGTTTGTGTACACATATTTTCCATATTTAAAGATGGCTGTCGTTGTTTACATTTGTTTTAGCTTTATAGTGTGTCCTTACATTTTTCAGTTTGAAAATGTGATAGTAATTGAGCAACTACGCTTTGAATTTGGTTTAAAAAAAGAAAAATTTGAAAGAAAGAATACGGAAGAAAGAACAGTAAGAGTTGTTAATAATGTTTATACTTGGAATAATTTGTTGGTTCTCAATCAAATGCAGGCAAAAAGTGAGAACCATGTAGGTTGTGACCTGGTCAATTTTGTAGTGCCATGGTTATCAAGAATGTTTATCCAGTGAAAGGGACAACCTGATGAGCATCTACCAAAGTGAAGGTAATTATCACTTCTCATTAAGTCTTTGAGATCAGTGTGAATGCTTGATGTTGGATTGCATGGATTTATCGTTTAAGTTGCGTCCCTCACACTAACATCCTAATCAATCTGTGGGGATAAATATATATATGATAAGCTTCAATGGCATTCCAGCCTGAGCTTCCTTCTCCTCTAACACAGTGAATAGCTAAGATGTATGTGCTGAATTTGAATCACTTAGCAGGACCTGAAAATTGAGAGCAGAACTAATGAGCACAAGGAAAGCAAAATCTATCTAAGACAGTGAGTTTCTTGAAATAGACCTGATTGGTCTCCTGTTGACATTGAAAAGCTTGATTGGCTCGATGGGTTATTGATTTCTGAGTGTACTTGTGAGTTACTTAATACTTCCTGCACATTACAGCATTTGAAGAGCACTACTTTTTTGTCAAAAAACGTTTTCGAGATTTATTGCAGATTGGCAAAGAAAGTGACTTGTGTTGCAGAAACCTGACTATGACAGGGGGAGGAAAATGCATAGCCACTAACCAAGTAATGACTGATACTATCATCTGCTAAAGCTTCCAATCTATCAAGTTGTGGCAATACTTCTTTGCTCAAGTCTGGTCTGTCTTTTCTTCACCGTTTAATTATTTCAGTTTTTAATTTTATTACTTTTAAGTTATTCACTGTGCAAGTACCGTTTAATTATTTCAGTTTTAAATTTTATTAGTTTTAAGTTATTCACTGTGCAATTTTTTTTTTTTTTTTTTTTGAATGTTACTGGCCCTATTACATTGTAGTATCTGATCATATACTTTCTCAACCTATTCACTGTGCAAGTTAGTACTTTAAGCTATTCACTGACAGGAGGCTTCTGGCTGCAAAGGGAAGTATTCCAATTGGAATTGGTAGGAATTCACACATCAAAAGAGCAATCATTGACAAGAATGCTCGTATTGGGAATGATGTGAAGGTTCGATATCAAATTTTTCTGCTCTTCTCCTCTTTTTGCTTTTAAAAACTTGGCCATTAATCTACTGAACAAGTGTGCTCAATCTTCCTATGCACGTGTAACATAAAGAAGCAGCTAACTTGACTCTTGATTGTTTCAGATCATTAACCGTGAAAATGTTCAAGAAGCAGCTAGGGAAACTGAAGGATATTTCATTAAAAGTGGAATCGTCACAATCATCAAGGATGCATTGATTCCCAGTGGAACCATCATGTAGAAGTATTTGAAAATCATGTGTACATGATTACTGTAGTGTAGTTGTTAGAGAGACTAATGATGCATCTTGTTAAACCTTTCATTTTAGTTTTGAACTTTTAAATAATAAAGCATCACCGTCATTTCTATGCTGCTTTTTACCCAGCCTAAGGCGTTTAATTGCTATGATTGAGATATAGGCAAATAAGATATTTTAAAAACATTCATTACTATTTAAATTCACAATTTTATTTTAAAATAATTCAAAAACGCGGCGGAATATAAGATTTGCAATGAAATATTTGTTGCAAATGATGCGACGGAATTACGACGGGAAACATTTCTGTTGCGAAATGGGCGACGGAATTAGCGATGGAAAAGATAATATGGCGACGGAATATTCGGTTCAGAAATAACGACGGATTTGCGACGGAAACAATTCCGTTGCGAAATGGGCGACGGAATCACGACGGAAGTATTCCGTCGCCAAATGGCGACGGAAATATTCCGTCGCTAAGTCCGTCGCCAAAAGTTGCGACGGAATTATTCCGTCGTCTATCAAAATACGACAAGGCGATAGACGACGGAATAAATTCCGCCGCCATTCCGTCGCGAAACGCGATTCGCGACGGAATATTACCCATTCGCGACGGAATTTTTCCGTCGCGATTCGCAATTTTTCTTGTAGTGAATATATATATATATATATATATATATATATATATATATATATATATATATATATATATATAATAGTCTAAATGACAAATCAAATTGGGATTAGGGTTTTCCTACCCAAGAAATACCCTACCTTTGGATTTTCAAGTTTAACAAGCCAAATTAGGGTTTCAATTACAGAAAAAAAATAAAATTGCAAAACAAAGTAAGACTTTCGATTTCAGATTTCAATTAATAATTTTTAATATCGAAAAAAATCAATTGCATGTATTCTAAAAAAAATAAATTAAAACTTCAAAACAATTCGGATTCTGCCGGGCGATTGACGTGTGGGTGACGGTTATTGCTATCACCCGAATGGATTACTGCCCATGGAGGAGTAAATGTCAATTCTGAGCTCCAAGTATGGCGGAAGATGTGGGATGGTATACTGAGACGGAGGAAGATGGACGCTCGCCTGTAGCCGGTCGACGGTGGGCCTGTTGCTGGTCGATGGAAGGCGTTGGCAGTGGACTGTTGACGAGCGGCGTTGTAATTGATCGGTGGAAGGTCGAAGTTCATCGCGAAAACTCATCTCACCTCTGTATATTTTCAGCTAAATTGATTGATCGGTTTGATAAAATAATTTATTGTTTCAAATTTAGATTTCTGTTAGGAATTAGTAAAATCGGAAAAAATCAATTGCGATTCACCTGGAGATAGCTATTGCTACCTACGGAATGGATTGCGGTCGGCGGACAAGTAGTCCCCGTTTCTGAACTGCAATTGTGGCGGATGATGTCGGACGATTTGTTGTTGCCGGAGGACGCTGGATGCTCGACTGTTGCCGGTGGACTGTGGGAGTTCGCGGTTGCCGGTGGACTGTGAAAGCATCTTCCCAACCGCGAAGTATGGAATGCTAAAAGAGTCGCACCTAGAAGGACGAGCGATCCTCTCACCGACTTTAGATGTTGTTGATCAAATTAATCAGTATATGTGTGACATGAACTCTAGAGAAGGTTTGACGTATTTAAGATGTGACTCTTTGTGTAAGGCAGAATCAGATGGTGGTAATCTCTCACAAGTACACACTCCTGAATTTTTTAATAGGTTGAGATTGTGTGGACTTCCTAATCGTTCATTGACAATAAAGGTTGGTGCATCTGTTATGTTATTGCGGAACATAGACCACTCTCTTGGTCTTTCCAAGATTGACGGATCATATTGTCGAAGCAAGAATAGTTAATGGAACGCAACAAGGAACCAAATTTCTTATACCAAGAATGTCTCTCACCCCTTCTGGTACAATATTGCCGTTCAAGTTCCAGCGTAAACAATTCCCGTTGATGCTAGCATATGCAATGACTATCAACAAAAGTCAGGGTCAAACACTAACTCACGTTAGCTTATTGTTAAAAAACCAGTCTTTAATCACGGTCAATTGTACGTGGTTTTGTCCCGAGTCACTCAACCTAATGGCCGTAAGGTTTTAGCTCTAGACGAGGATATACAAACTTCTGTTACTACTACAGTACCAGTAATGTCGTCTATAAAGAGGTTTCAACAATGTGTAATTCAAAATAGTTATATTATGTATTCTTCTGGCACAAATATAACAAAATTGTTACATATTTACATATTACGTATATATTCCGTTTAAATAATTTCTATAGCTAAATTTCTAGTTAATTGTAATAGCAAAAAATATTTTTATAATTACATTTCCATTAAAAATAGAACTTAATTGAAATATTGAAACAAACCAGAATATGAACATTATCAAATGTATTAGTAGTTGGTAAAAATAGTATACTTCTTGCTCGAATAGTTACTAAATGTAGTAGTAGTCAATCAATTTTATTTCTTATGCCCAAGATTTGCTATCTAAGCTCTGATACCACCTTATATCAGACCCTAACCAATTTTATTTTCTATGATCACGAATTGACAACCTAAGCTCTGATACCATCACGTAACAAGGAGAAATGAATCAAGTTTAATACACCGCAAAAACAAGGTATTATAAGTCACATTTGATTTATTTCCATTTCGTTTATTTACATAATTTCTCCTGTTTATTCTTGTTGGTTTTATGGCAATCATCCACGATCTAAATATTTTGAACGATGCTGACCTATGTAAGAAAGGTACATTATATCCATTCCCTTTTCATTTGTAAAGATAGCCAAACCACCAAACTCGAGGGACATTGGTTGGTATTAACTCTTTTTGTATAAGTCAAATGACAATATTACCCTCCATTTTGACGGCTAAGACGGGAGGAAGTAACGGAAGGATGCTAGAATGTAACTTTTCACAACTCGGAGGATGACGGATGGTAATTATGGAAGTTAGGGACCATTGATGGCGATGTCACCAAACTCGAGGGACCATAGGTGGTATTTACTCTATAATATATAATAAAAGTGTATTATATATAAGTTATTTCATTTTAAACAATTAAAACTTACATTAAAATATATGGCGCTAGATAGCATTGTTTTTGGCCATATTGCATGGTGACGTTGATATACCCTGTCCGTTCATCTATAGAATTCGAAATTGGTTGAACGAAATGTGGATCTAAGAAGCCATATGTGGTCTTTGATGCCAAATCAAATTTGTCATAAACACCCCTATTCAAAAGTACAATCAATAATATATATTAGTAATATAATAGATGAAATGAAAAATATTATATAAACAAATATAAGTAAACAACTTAATTATTACCTTATAAAGAACTGCAATATGAAAACATCTAATGTCTCCATCCTTAAGAAACATATAATCTCCAACGGGTCAAGTTGTAACGGATAGTCAACATCGCCCACAATACCACGCTCCATCCTTATCACAACATTTTCATCAAGTTTGCGAATAATTTTATATACCTTTAGACATCGAGGACTCAAAGAAGTCGGATCAGCTATATTCAGATCAGCAAAAGGTCGTTGCACACCAGAATCATAAGTCATTTGTACCTGTTCAATATAACTGTAACACCCCCCAAAAACAAGACCTAAAAACAAGTCTTAACACATGCAGATTAACAACAAAACACTAGCACAGCGGAAGATAGAAAGATAACTGGATAAAAGGAATCCAAAACGGGGTGTTATGCCACGTATACCACACTTGGCATACGCTACGACGACAATCTGCAAGTGTATCACTATCCCAAAAACAACAAACTAGAACAATCTAAAGACATTGGCACACAGGCCTCAACAACACTGTCTAAAGATACAGGTGCTAAGCTACCGGCTCTAGACATCGCGCTCGACTACGCATCACCTGAAAGATACAAAGATAAACATCGGGGCGATGCCCGGTCAGCGAAAGATGCTGGTAACCCACCAATACCGTTAAGTATCATAAATAGGTAGATATAAGATATAAAAACCATTTTCGAAACGGAATACATATATATAAGTCAAAAGCCAAGATCAAAAGACAACACAAGACTCACCACTCACAAGGATAACACTGGGAACACGTCCCAACCACAAAGGTTAACCACACACAAGGATCAAAACTCACCCAACGGCAACACATGCCAAAACACCACAAGACTCCGTGACTACACACGTCACGAGAGAAGATCACACAACAACGGCTTCACAAGCCCTCGTGACATCACACATCACGAGTTGATATGCCTTCCTTATGCCATGTTCCAACCTTATGGCTACCCCCAACCTTGTACCTTCAAAGCCAACCATTACCTCCAGAAAACCCCTGTACAGCCAAGTCCAACCTTATTCCGCCGGGACCGTCGTCCCCCACCTACAGACCATCAACGAAAACCCACCAATTCACGGCAACACATGCCCGGATAACACAATGTTATCCCCCAAACACGTGGACTCAGCCACAACTCCATAATCACGTCACGGCCACCACGAGGACCGCTGCAATACCTTGGTGACTAGCGTCCCATACCACTAATCGTGCAATCCAGGTAGAGCCACACACGCACCACCACTCACACGAAACAAGCAACGGATTGCAATAGAGGTATGAAATATACTCAATCAAGAGACGGGTCATCACCCAACGACAACAACGACGCTAGCATTAAGATAATAACTAGCAAGCTCAACAACGGGGAAACTCAAGATAGTTCCGAGGAACACACAAGACACCACACGGTTCAACGAAACACAATGTTGAACACTTAGCACGATTCACAACACCAAAGATCCTACATGGATACCTACCATAAAGCTCTAGACCTACGAAACATCAAGAAAACGCTCAAATAGTTCCACAAAAGAACATCGGGAGGCCAAAAGATCAAAGACCGAGACAAACAAATCACGGGGAACAAATCCCATCTCGACTCCAACGTG